GTATAAGCCACACCGATCTAGTAAGCCGCATGGTTCAAAGTTCAGGAAAAAAGTCGCGGCTTATAGTCCGAAAATACGGTAGATTTGAAGCAAAACCACGTTACACCGATCATCTTTAGGTAATTTACTGTTCGTCATCTTCTGAGGAATATCTCTTATTCTAGGAAACATGTGAACATGGCACTGCAGCAGCATGCAGGCGTGTGTGGACTTCTATTTGAGGACATCACACAAGTGTCCTGTTGTGAGATAAAACCTCCTGTGCTTGCTTTAACATCCAAACACAGGCTACAGATAGGCTACAATGAGCTGATCTGAACACACATCAGTCAGGAGGGGAAAAAAAAAGCGGGGCAGCCACTTATCTCCAGCCTGAAGCTGTTCCAACAGAAGATGCTCTTTGTGTCATTTTATCTGTGTGGCTGTTGCTATATTTTTCCTTCTTATTCAAGAACTTTTTCACAATTCTAAACATTGAAGTATGTGCTATTTGAAAGCTGCAGAACAAAAATTCCTAGTCTTTGTCACAGAAATTTCAGAAGATAAATGTGGTCTCAGATGCATTGAACCACAGAAGAGTTGTAAGATATCTTATTTTTCACTTCATTACCCACCTGTAGGATGCTGTTTAAATAGCAGGTGTTACCCAGGTTTTTGAGGCCCACAAAAGGCACCAAGTTCTCCTTCTTCTCACAGGAGACAGGAAGAGCAGGTGAGGTTGGACAAGGAGAGGGACCATAAACCACCTGCTCACAGCTGCTGTAGGGTGAAAAAGAGAAAACAGGTTATTTTTAATTCTACAACACAACATGGAATACCTACACAAACGAGATTATTATTTCCCTAAAATTGTTTGCAACTCATCACCACCTTCTGAGACAGATTATTGAAAAAAATATCTGGTCCAAAGTTTCAAACGAATCACAAGTTTCACCATAACAAAATATAAAGAAATGACTGTTCTTATGTTCACTTTTTAATGTTTTAAATGTCGTTTATTTACCAGCAAGTATATTTTAATGTACATTTTATGTAGGGYTTCTGATGCAAAAAGCAGAAACCTAAAAGCTTTATGACTGCTTTTTAATGGGTTTCATAGTGTTTTTTGCAATCAAGAGAATCAAAACAATTTTGTTTTTCTTTCAGATTTAAAAAAGTGCAGTCAAATGCTCATTTAAAAATCTAAATCACTTATTTATATGCAACTATCAAAATTAAAAAACGAGGATGCGTTTGACTCACATGACAATGAGCGTCACACAGTTATTGAACAAAAACACGATCTGAAAAGCGACCGATCCGATCGCAGACCTACCTGGCCTCAGGCTCGTGTGGTTCCGTTTTGGGCTCCTCTGCCTGCGGTTCAGAGAAATCCAGAGCTCGTTTCGTTTCCTTCTTCTGGAAAAACTTCAGAGAGAGTCTGTTCTTCTTCACGGGACTCCCCTGCGCCGCTCCAGCACTCTCACCTGGCGGAGCTGACATCTTTCCTCCCGGGGTTGTTTTCGTTTCTCGGCTACTGAAGCGCAACAGCGCCCTCCGCTGGCGGAAAGGAGAAATGCAACATCATTTTTTTTTTCACGGGCGCCATCAGCGTTCAACATGAACGAACGTAACTACGCACTTAAGTTCATGCTGTAGTTTTTGTCATTGCGAACAAACAGCCTCCAAATAGTTCGGTACAGACGCTTCAGGTTTTGCTATTCAAACCCAGTTATAGACGGAACAATGTATTATATAACATTTTAGCTGGCTAAATGACGCCCGATTAGCAACACCCTCTCCTCCTAAACAACTATTATGAAAACGTTGCATATTTTATTTTGAGGAATAATGACAACAAAACATAAACAACAATGGTTTCTGATCCGTTTTTACATTACAAGAACGAAACTAGGTCGACGCGGAGTGGTGTTGTGAAGTGGGAGGAGTAAACAGGCAGCACGCTGCCTCGAGCAGTTTAGTTCAAGGTAACAAACTGTCTAAATGTATACAGCGAGCACCTCACTTTAAAGTCTTACCTAAACGAGTCATTCCAATTTTAGGTTTGATAAATTTCCCCTAAATACCCAGTTATTCCAAGCATTTACTCGAGTGTTTAAATACTCTGACGGTGCGAGAGAAGTTGGCGCTTTTTCCTGCAAGAAGACCCGCTGGCCCGTCACTTTGCCGACGGAACACCCACTCCGCTTGAATGAATCTGACTAAATTGTGTCCAAATGATGGCTACACCTGACGAAAACTGTATATATTTCATGCGAATAAAACGTAAAACTACGCAAAACAATTTTTAAAATTATTTGACTAGAAGTATACTGTTCTATTAAACAGGCATGGATTAGGACACCTAAATAATTTAGGTCCTTCAAGCCAGTAAATGACGCCATATTTGTAGTTGGACGGCAAAGAAAATGTCTGCACGGCATGGGCTTCAAATTAAAAGCTGCCAAACCATATCAGTTATTTAAAAAAAATACAAAATTAACTTAGGTTTTATAGTTGTTATGGGGAAAGAAAATTTATCAATGTTTGGTTTTGTTAATTTGTTTGTTAAAAAGTTTCGAAAGCAACATTCAATGCTTTTGTGTGCTTTCAAAAAGCATTTGCAGTTTCATGCATTTTTAATATCATATGCTTGTTTCTTTTAGGTAGATATGACAAAATAAATTAAATAAAAGAAAAGTAAGTGAAGACAATCACGAGTCTGAATATAAAAAAATTGCCATTTCATGTTTCGTCGTTACTTTTGCTTTTATTTTGAAAAAAGGGGGCGGAGGTCTTTTCCTCCACAAACTAATATCTGACTGTGATTTCCCCTGAGAAACCAAAACTAAAAAATTTTGATCTCTCTCTCTCTCTCTCTCTCTCTCTCTCTCTCTCTCTCT